AAATGTCGAGTTGGTACTTCGTGGCCTCCAACTAATTCATGTTCTTTTCCTCTGAGTGAGGATATGTTCCAGTTTGCGACTTTATGCTCCCACTGGTGGTGTCATTCTCGTGGGCTCTTTTCTGACGTGCTGTAATGGCATCGCTCTATCTCCCTCCTCCGTTCAGAACAGGTAACGACTCCGTTGCTGATTGGTTTTGATCGTGCTGCTACTCACAGGGCTACCAGAAGGCCATTAATATGTTGTGATCGATGAATTTTCGTAGCCTACCTTAATCCTCCCAACAGTCTGCTCGGCTCTTCCTAACCCGGGCGATGTTGGTATTACTAGTCGATATTATTCAATAACGGCAATACCATTATGGACAGGTGGTTAGGTTTTACGGAGACTTCGGCATGGTCTACAACCTTCCTCTTGTCTCATCTGGGCTTGGGGCCGGCAGTGGCAGAGTTGCCAAAGTCACTCGTTTTTGAAATAGTCGCAATGCTATGCTTCCTAATGTTGTCTTCGCTTAGAACGCAGATAAACGACTGCTTTCTGTGCTGCCAGTGTAGTTACTTTAGCATTCTTATTCTGATCCAGCTTGAGTGTACACTATGTTAAGCTATCAGTCAGTTTAAAGTCAATAGGAATGCTCCTTATAGATCAGTTTGAGTAAGCATAAGCTCTGCATGCTCTCGCAATATCCGCTAACACGTTGGCCTTACTTCGCCGAAGCAAGTGCTTCCGTATTATGTTCATCTTGTTTTTTACAAAGTGATGAGAGACTTCAGTTTGAGGTAAAAGCCGAAATCCCAGAAATTTATCTCTCAAATACGAACATTGCTCCACTCTCTTTGATTACTCAGAACTCACGCATGCTTCGTGATCTAGGAAGTCGCATGTTGAGACAGGTAGCTTAGAGCCAGTGAATTTAGCTCATTTACGTTAGATGCCAAAGATTATGTGTACGTGTGTGTGCCTATACGTATCTGTACGTGTGCGTGTTTGTGCGCACAAGTAGTGTTTATGTCCTGAAGAATATACTGATGTGCCTTCGAACCGTTTGAGGTAATACAAGTTTCATAGTCGTGCTCGACCACACTTTTGCACTCAAACCACCGCTTGAATGATCACCGATTTATTAGCTGTGTGTCGCAGAGTCAGTATTATTGCCTGATCCCACGTATCTTGCCTTAAGTATGAAGATAACGAACAAAGTCAACATAGGAATGAACAAAAATCAGTTAGAAAATTTCCTTCAGATTTGTGAGGATTAAAATGCACGAGACATGCATGACTAGACTATCGAATGGTACGTGTGCAAGCCACATTTCCCTGGCTGTATGATTGTGTGACGCTGCGTGACTGAATGCAGCACCGATGTGCCAGGGTTATGACAGAAACCGCAGTATCTTTAACAACTGAATGATATCGTTCGTCACGACCTGAAGTATTGATCACTGTGACAAATGTGCACTGAGTGATCGTTTTAGATATAATCTGAAAACAATATTAAACACCACTGTGGCTGTGCGGGTGAATCTTGGTGAGTCGACTGTGGGTGAATAGTGTTTGATGCGCCGTAGAGGAGAAATTTTTCTTGCGCGTTGTGTACATTCTTGCTGAATAAAACTTGTTGCTTCTTCAGGAGCGCATCGCTATCTTTACATGAAAAACTACCCCTCATCCAGGGGTGAGAGAAAGACCTCCCCCCACCCCACGTCAGAGAGTGCTACCTCCGTATTGCATGTCATCAATTTTGTAACAGTTGATTTTCCTCTGCTGTGTTGAATCTTAAATCTCAAAAAACACGCCGTTCAAGAAGTCCGTTTACCTTTTTGGTTCTACAATTTAGCGTCATATTTATGCTAATATTGTGAACCTTGTAAAAGTTGCTAGTCTCGTTGGACAGTAAAGCAAGGTCGACACCCAAAAACATGTTTCATATGTACCAATGATTAAGCTCTGGTCAGTAGTGTCTAAGAAGCAATAACCCAGCCAAAAGGTAACATTTGTCTGAAGACACTATAAAACAAATTTTTAGCAGTTTGATTACAGCGGAATTCTACAGGTGCAGGTCTGAAATATGTAGTGTTATAGTTTTACTGAATTACTCAACGTTGAAAATCAGTTTTTCTAAGTTAATTATTTGTGATTTCAGGTGAAAGGAGGCGTTGCTGATGCCGACGGTCGCTTAATGCCAGGTGACCAACTTTTAGCTGTTAATGGGAATGATATTTCTAAAGCATATCGCGAAGAAGCTGCAGCGTTAATGAAGGTAAAAATGAATAATAATTAATTATTACGACGTTACGTTTTCAGTGTAGGGCTTGCTTTTGAAATTGCAGCTATATTGGTGGTTTTTGGTTCAGGGAATCAGGCAGTAACTGATGATAGCCGTTTTACTGCTGATGCGCATCACTGCATCACCCATATCGCTGTACTGTTCTTTAGTGATGTTATCAGCGTTCAGCGTTTTGCCATCAACAATGCCGGGTTCCATGAACTAAGAATTGACAACAGAGCTACAGTTATAAATAGGGAATTATGTTAATCGAAAACTCACTTCCGGAAGTAGTTTGGACAGTTCAGATTGTTTGCATCGTCTTTCCATCTGACTTCACTCCAGACGCGTCGACGTTCGTCCAGTCTTGTCTTGTCTCCTCTTGAAATGTTTCTGAAAATCAATTGTTCGGCAGGTGAGGTAATGGCACGATGTCAAAGAAATCAGCTTTGAACTGCGAAGATGTTGAGTTCGAATCTCCTCAAGAATCAGTCTTTATTTTAAGCGCGAATTCCCATTAAACCAGGAAATAACCCAACGTTTCACCAGTGCAACCAGCTGAGAAATGGATAGCATGATATGGTCATGTGAGAGTGGGCGAAATGTACGGCTGTGCTGTCGGATGCAATCACCCTTCGTGGCTGCATTTAGTCTTGACCCATTTGTTAGCTGGATATCCACTGTAGTTATAACCATTAGGTGTAACGCCGATTTCTATTGCTTTCCACTTCAGTTCTTTCTTGTTGTTGATACTGAAATTATTGCTTGTGTCTTCCTGTCCAGCCTCATCCAGCCCAACACACTTAACGAAGTAGCGCACTTTATGAAGTTTCGGTCATTGACAGATGTCATTGACGAGTGCCAGAAAAACATAATCTATTCAAGCGGGCTCTAACATCACATCGCTTCAGGCTCTAACATCAAGATACTCACTTCAGTGGGAGAATTCAAGTTATATGCCTTACTAATGAGAGAAAATTACCCATAGAACATCCGCCACATAACGATAACAACGCGCCCTACTTTCGACATAGTAGTTGCCATTTGGCATCTACCACGTTACTATAATCGCTTTTGTGTATG